TCGAGAGCACACTCGGAGTAGAGTGTGGGGTTTGCTGGTTCCCGGAGTAGGGAAACAGCAGAGTGTTTTTTGTCTTTGTTTTTCGGAGTAGATTAATAAAGAACTTAGGATAGGAGGACGTAGGCCTGAGTTGGCTGAACCTCGTTAAATTTGTTGTGTTCTTTATTGCTTTATTATATTCCGCTGCATAAGGGAACCAGCACAACTGGTCCCTTAACCATAATTCGAAAAGAAGCAAAAATTGCCAACGATTACTTAACACTCAATTCACCCCCCCCTCTTGAGTGCCCATAGAACCTTCAATGATAATGAGAGTATACTAGCAAACGAGGTATGTTTGTTATCAATATATCACTATTATATAGGTTGACATTTTAGATCTTATGCCAAAAATTGTCTTAATAATTTTTTCAAGCTAACAACCCTCTTAAAAGCTAATGATTTTTAATTTTAATGTATTGTGAACTCCACGTTGATAGGTTTAAATACATTACGTATGCATGTGCATGTATTAATTGTAAATTTGTAAGTGGTTTGCGTTTGAAATTTACCATGTAAGCTTTTTTTTTTTTTTTTTTTTTTTTTTTTTTTTTTTTTTTTTTTAATTTGAACTTCGTATGTTGCTTGTTTAATATATATAATTTTTTTAAAATTCCGTTTATTTTTAAAGTTAGGATGTTTTTACTTTTAGAGTGAAAAGGTGTATGTTGATGGTAAAGAATTTTTGACAAAAGATAAAAAAAAAAAGGTACTCCCTAATAATTTAAGATATTTTATTATTTTTATACAATTAGGTGATTTCCATCTGGGTTTAATTAGTTAAATTGGGTGTAGAGATTGGAGTTGGATGCTGTGGATGTTAACAAATCAAAGGAAAAAGAAGTCGTGGAGCTTGAACAGACATGCTCATTTATACAAGTTCACCGTGGTCCAACAAGGAAGGTGTCCAAGGTGAGTAAGTGCACAAGGAAATTAAATAAACATTAATCTATTTTTCTTTTTCAATTCAAAAAAATATAATAGTTTTTCACTAATAAACATGTACCGTGGATGAATGTGTGTGATATACTCCGTATGAGATTATATTATTTTATTTTGTTATAATAAAATGATCAAGTACATTAGATGTTGTTAAATTTCACTTGTAATTATTGAATGAATTGGGCTACATATGTTAGTATGAAGTAGGACAACAAATCTAACAAATATTTGCTCTGCAGGTTCCATCATAAATGCAATCCACAATATGTAGAGTAGTCTAATAAATAAAGATATGGAATATATATGTGTTAATCATCCTTCAACTTTTCTAACCTGCATTTTTTCTTGGGGGGGGGGGGAAGGGAATCCTGAAAGATAACTTATTTGTCCTGTTACTATATTAACGGACAATAATTCAATCAAAATTTTATGTGGTTATTTGAAGTAATCAAATTCTTTTTAATTTTGCATTATTTTAAATTTATATAGGGCTTTCTATTTTGGGATTATTAATGGGTCAGGTCATATATAAACCAAAGTCTGACCACAACATTTTATTCTCTCTCTCAATTTTCTATTTTTTTTTTGTTCAACCATTCTAATTACCCTATATAATGCAAAGAGCGAGTACACTTTTCTTAATTGGCCAAATTGCATGTTGTGATCAACAGAAGCGAACTGACAAACAAAGAAGGCAAAAGCTAATGATTGAGAAGCTACATGCCTTGCAGAATCTAGTTCCACACTCTCATAAGGTAACACGTGTGAAATATCGTTAAATCGATCTTGTTATCATGAAATCTTTCGGCCATTCACTTATCATTGTTTATTTGTTAATGAAGCCTGAAATTAGTGTTTTATATATCATCACTGCACACTAGTGACACTGCTTCGAACAATTTTAATTTAATGGCCCATTTGAATATTTGATAGATGATATAAAATGACCTTTAGTGCCCATGAGAATGAATTTTGATTTCTCGTGCATATATACATATTTATAATGTACAAATTCATTTCCATTGCAACTTATCAATTAAGTGAGCCATAGTTTAAATAATGTTAGTGCTATAGTAGCACGGAAGAAGTAGGTATCATAAAATCGTAGATTAAGACACATGCATCTGACGAATGTATGTTGTATATTAATATATGCGTATAATCAGGGGTGGTTCCGAGCATGTGTAGGGTGGTCGATAGTACAGGGCCCCTAAGTGAAATAACTATAAAAGGGTCCCATTTTTTGAAATTTACTTATACAAAGTAAAGAGATAACTTGTTAATTAATAATCTATTCTTCAATTTTATCATAAAATTTATAATTAAGTAAAATATTTTTCCTTAAAGAAATGATTTTAGGCCCAATTTAACAAAATTGTACTTGGCCATTTCCGGTGTTAGCATTTATAGCCCCGCCTCTATGTATAATATACGAAGTATACTGAATAATATACGCATCTCTACTGGCCAAGCTGGCCTGTTGCATGCTAGGCGTGTACTGTCTAAATATTAATGTGTTGATTTATACTACTATGTGCGTACAATTTTACTTGTAGAGAGACCATGCAACCATCCTTGATGATGCAGCTCAGTACATCAAATCCTTGAAGCTCTATATGGTAATCATCTCTTACTTGCTATCTTCTTCATTATTATATACGTGGGCCCAAATATATTAAATAAATTTAATAGTCGATCATGTATAATATAGCCCCATTTCCACCTACCTTTTTGGTTTCCAAAGCTACAATAAATACAACAATTACCAGAAATCCAATTTTTTTTTTTTTTTTTTTTACCGGAAGTCAAAAAAATAAAAATAAAATGCATAATTAGCCACATGCATGCATCACCACTATATTTCCATGCAGATGATGTTGCAATGGAATGGAGAAAGCCTATATGAGCAGGCTCCGTATGCAGCTCACCAAACATCCGTGTCCATGATGTCTTGGCCTGATAAAATGCATGCAGAATGCAAATGGGTGCAATAAACAACAATCAAATGTTGGAGTCTAGCTATATCATGACTTAATAGCTAGGCCGAATCATATATAAGAATGTACGAGTAACTCGTTTTATATACTTCATCCGTCCCTATTTACTTCTCCTATAAGGATATAATCATGTTTGCATTGAATTTTTAAGTGAAAAATATGAATGAGTGGGTAAATGAGGCAGATAAGTCAAGACACCAAAAGAATAGAGACAAGCAAAAGATGGAGAGAGTACTGCACTTTAATTTCTTTTCTGTGTTTGCATTGTTTCTTAATTAATATAGTTGTACTTTAATATTTACTCTGAAATCTGTAATAAACTTTAATTATAGCATGTTTGATTAGTTAACTTTTCATAGTTATTTTTAAAATTGGAAAAAACTTGTGTGGACCTGGTTCACAATAATATTATTGTAGACTTATACGCATGCAAATAACGTTGTATTGAACATAGTAACCCTAATTTTAACATAGTGATCTTTATTTATTAAACTCGTGTGACCTTTAATATTATTGTGAAGCTAAAATACATATATGTCAACCGATACTATGTTAAACATAGTGACCTTCATTATTTATATTGACCAGTTGAAACACATTCATTTAAAAAAAAATTCAATGCAAACATAGTGTTCCTAATAATAGCGGTTCACTATAAATTAATGTGAATCAAGTATATTTAAGAATTTGTATTTAAATTTTTTTGACACTTAATAAGTCAAGACTCAAGATCGCTTGGACGATAATCAACCTAGCAAACGATCCTTCCAGATTATCAGAATTTGTACTCCGCATAAATTCACTTACTTGGTGTTTGGGGTCCAAATAACTTATATTTGGGCCCAGTCCACAAATGAAAATAAATAAAGCCCAATAGGCAAGGTCCAACCCTTTAACACATATGCCAAGTCAAAGTCAGCGGAGCCCAACTGATTCCTCAAGACCACTCCATTCAATTGGAGCAAGGTATAAATACTCTCATTTTGCCTCACTTACATTCATTCACTTATATTTCCTCAAGCAACAAACACTCTTGCATAGCCATTCTCTCTCCAATTTACACTCGTACTGACTTCGGCATCAGAGGGGCCTTCCTCGGCACAACCCCCGAGGCCAGTTTACGTTTGTTTAGCTGTGCAGGATATCCCCAATTCGGTCATCACTCGAATTGGGCCTCGTCCCCACTCATCCGAAGGACCTGCCGAAGGTCCCATTGTTTTTACCGAAATAATTTGGCGCCGTCTGTGGGGATCTTACAAAAATTCAGCCAAAAATCTCATACCAATTTTAGCCAACGCAAGAAATGACTAAGAGTGGAAAAAACTCCAAAAAAGCAAAAAAGATGGGCCTAATCACGGTGAGGACAGACAGGGCACCATCTGCCTCAGTCTCGGGGATCCCACGTTCTCCGGGAAGAGAGGAACTGTCTGGGGGGTCTCCTCCTCGACAGAAGCGTCGGAACGCCGACTCACCGCGAGAAAGCGAGGCCCGGCCTGAGAGCTCTCAGCCGAGCAGACATTCTCATTCACAGCCAAAATCTACCCCACCCACTGTGCCTTCGAATGAAGAGGTGGCGAGGGCGATGGCTGTCTGCATGGAGTTCATGAAAGCCCTGGGTGGATGCCTCCCATCCGTGCATTCTACTCCTCCTTCGCCCCCGCCGAAGCCGGAAAGCCGGAAAAGGAAACTGGCTTCGGAAGGGGAAGGACGAATTCCACTCTCCTAGGAAGGGGGGAAGCGTAGGAGCCAAAAGCCTGGCCAGGTTAGGACGAGAGCGACGATGGAACTCCAGTCACTTGGAAAATTCCCCAATTCGGAGCCCAAAGGACGTCCTGAATAGCCACAACGCTTCCCGCCGAAGCGTTTACGAACGCCTAGGGGAGAGGGAGAAGGACATTCACAGTCGTCTCACCTATCCCGAAGGCTCTCGCCCAGAGCTGCCACGCGGAGGGACCCCTCACTTCCACCTCTCTAAGAGGGAGAAGCGAGGTTCCTTCAGAAAGGCAGAGGGGAAAGGCCTTGATGGTTCTTACCAGTTCACCCTTCCAGAGGTGGATACTGGAGGAACATGTGCCGACAGTTAAAATTCCGGCACATATCACTTACGATGGTACTTCGAATCCGAAGGACCACATAGCCTCTTACGAGGGGCATATGTACCTTAACCCCAGGTCTGAAGCTACCTGGTGCAAATACTTCCCTACAACCTTGAAAGGTGTTGCCCAGTCATGGATCACCAAAGGGCTGAAGGAAGGCTCTATAACAGGCTGGAGTGATCTTGCCAACAAGTTCAAGAACAAGTTTTCCACGGCTAACCGCCGAGAGAAAACTACTGCAGAGCTTATGGGCCTGCAGCAAGCGGAAGACGAAAGTCTCCGAGATTACTTGACTCTCTTCAGCAACGAGTCGTCCAAAATCACAAGCCTGGACCAAAGCCTAGTCGTATTCGCACTACGGAATGGCTTGCAAGTTGGAAAATTTCTGGATTTCATGGTCATGCATCCTCCGCAGACCTTGGAAGAAGCCCTCGATGCTTCGGATAAATTCATCCGGGCCGAGGAATGGAACAAGGCCAAGCTGCAATCTCAAACAGGGCTTGCGAAGCCAAAAGAGCAGCAAGCCGAAGTTCCAGGGTCGAGGAAAGGGAAGGCAAAGGCCTAAGAACCTCCCTCGACCACAGAGCCGAAGAAGGATAAGGCTCCCTATCTGGGAAAGTTTGAATCGTACACCCCTCTCACCTTACCACGTACTAAGATCTTTAGTGCGACGAGGGAGGAGGGAAGATTCAAAAAACCGAAACCGCCTCCTTCTTGGCATCAGAAGAAAGGGAAGGATAATTGGTGCGAGTTCCACGAATCCCGTGGAAATCGCACCGAGGACTGCCTTCACCTGAAGGACCAGATTGAAGAACTGGTCCAGAAAGGGTATTTAAAGAAATATGTCGCGGAGCGCCGCGAAGAAAAGAAAGCTGGGAGAGATTCTCGGCAGGATCTGGATTACCACCGGAAAAGGGACAAACCTCCTGAGGGGGGAAATCATGACATCCTAACCATTTTCGGGGGTATTTCTCAGAATGCACTGAAGCGCCATCTGAGGGGGCTGACCCATCAGATTCATCATGCCGAATTCGAAAGCCACAGTCTCCGGTGCCGAACATGATGTTCACATTCGAAGAGTGCAGGGTGGTAGTATACCCCCATGATGACCCATTGGTTATCATGACGAGCATTGCAAACCACAACATCTATCGGACACTGGTAGACGGTGGTAGTGGGGCGAATATACTTTTCCGAAAGGCATTCGACCAGTTGAAGTTGGAGAGCAGGCACCTAAAAATCCAGTTCCCTATCCGGTAACTGGATTCAACGGATCTTCTTCATATCCATGCGGGAAGAATTCTTCTTCCCGTCAGCCTCGGCCAAGACCAAGCATGGCGAAGCATCATGGCCGAATTCTTGGTCATTGACGCCCCATCAGTGTACAACGTCATTATGGGGAGACCCCTCATCCATGACGTTAAGGAAGTTTCCTCGACGTATCGTCAAACAATGATCTACATTTCAGACGAAGGACGCTCCGAAAAAATCTTGGGCAGCCAAAGAGAGGTCCGAGAATGCAATTTTCTCAAACCATCCAAGAGTCGCCGCAATGACGAGGAAGAAAAAGAGAAAGAAAAAGAGCGAGGTACCAAAAGGCCGAAGGGCCTAAGTGCTTCGGCTTAGGGGTCTCCAAGAAAAAGAACATCTTTGGAGACTAGAAAGGCTAGTTCTTCGGCTAGGTCGAAAGATTCAGAAGAAGATTAGCCGAAGAAAGGGAGGTCTGCTGATATTGACAATAGGCCCGATCCTGAAGAGCCTGTCTCCAAAGCAATGGAGTCAGATGAACAAACTGAATCAATACCGTTGACTGAAGGAGATACCGAAAAATGTGTCAGCATCGGACAAGGGCTCGATTCGAACGTCTGGGTTGAATTAATCCAACTCCTTCGGGACAACTGAGATGTGTTTGCGTTCTCAGCAGCTGACATGCCGGGAATTGATCCGAACCTCATTTTTTACAAGCTTAATGTCGACCCCACATGTCGGTCAATTAAACAAAAGAAGTGGAATTACTCCGCTCAAAAGAACCAAGACATCGCAGCCGAAGTAAAAAAACTTCTGGACACAGGGTTCATTGAGCCTTGCCAATATCCTGAATGGCCGGCGAATGTGATGATGGTTCAGAAGGATAATGGCACCTAGAGAATGTGCGTTGACTTCACGGACCTAAATAGGGCCTGCCCGAATGACTTCTATCCCATGCCGAGAATCGATTAATTAGTCGAATCGACAAGCGGCCATGCTCTGCTTAGTTTCATGGACGTATTTTCTGGGTACCATCAGATCTTCATGCACCCGGACGACAGAGAAAAAACGACATTCGTAACAAGTGTCGGGGTGTATAACTACAAGATGATGCCCTTCGACTTGAAAAATGCCGGAGCGACATATCAGAGGTTGGTGGACCAAGTGTTCGCCGAAAAAAAGGGTCGTAACATGGAAGTCTATGTTGACGATTCCATCGTCAAGAGCAAAGAGGTAAAAGACCATGTTGCAGACCTAGCCGAGACGTTCGCCACTCTGAGAAAGTATCAAATGAAGCTAAATCCGAAGAAATGTGTCTTCGGCGTGAAGTCAGAGAAATTCCTTGGTTTCATGGTCAGCAAAAGGGGGATTGATGCTAATCCCGCCAAAGTTCAAGCAGCTATTGACCTTCCCGAGCCGAAAACAAAGAGGGACGTTCAGCGTCTCACTGGGAGGATGGCTGCCCTGTTGAGGTTCATCTCGAAAGCCTCGGAAAAAGGGTTGCTCTTCTTCAAAGCGCTAAAACATCCAAAATCTAAAGAGCTCATATAGGAAGAAGAGCAGAAGGTAGCCTTCCAGCAGCTCCGAGAGCACCTGGCCAATCTCTTAACGCTGGCAAGATCAGCTGAAGGAGAAGTCTTGTACTTATACGTGGCAGTTAGCCCTGCCACTGTTAGTGCGGTGCTGCTGAAAGAAGAAGAAAGGGTCCAGCAACCGATCTACTTCGTCATTCATACGTTGACCGACGCCGAAACGCGCTACCCCTTGCTCGAAAAAGTTGCATATGCAGTGGTAGTATCGGCTCGGAAGTTAAGGCCTTATTTTGACTCACATCAGATAGTGGTCTTGACAGATCAACCGCTGGAAAAAGTCCTCGGCAAGGTTGAAAAGTCAGGCAGACTAACAAAGTGGGCCTTCAAGCTCACTGAGTTCAGCATAAGCTATCAGCCGAGGGCAGCCATTAAGGCCCAAGCCTTAGCAAATTTCCTGGCCGAATGTTCCTATCAGGAAACACTCGACGAAGGAAAGAAGATCTGGACTGTATTCACGGATGGCTCAGCCACCGTGAATGGTTCGGGGGCAGGGGTAGTTATCACCTCTCCCGAAGGCAAAAACTTCGAGTATGCACTGAAATTTTCATTCAAGGCCTCCAATAACGAAGCCGAATATGAAGAAGCAGTTGCTGGCTTAGAGTTGTATATAGCCCTCGAAGCCGAACATGTCTTTTTGAAGACAGACTCTCAGCTAGTCGCCAATCAGATCCGAGGCAAATATGAAGCTAAGGAACCCTCCATGATCTCCTACCTCGCCAAAATAAAAAAAGTTATGGCAAAGCTGAGAACTTTCGAAATTGAGCTAATCCCGAGGGGTCAAAATGCTCAAGCCGATGCACTCTCCAAACTTGCAAGTTCATCTCTCACAGAGTTGAACCGATTTGTATATGTGGAAGTGCGCCAAAACAGAAGCATCGACCAAGAAGATGAGGTCCTATGTGTTGGGGTCGAACCGAGCTGGATGGATACCATCCTCGCTTATAAACTTCAGGGATAACTTCCCGAAGACAGAGTTTTGGCCGCAAAACCGAAAAGAATCGGTTCAAGGTTCATCGTTTATAACAGGGAACTTCTGAAAAAATCCTTCTCAGCCCCATTGCTGAAGTGTGTAGGTCCAATAGATGCAGATTATATCCTTCGGGAGATTCACTTCGGCATCTGCGGAAACCACATCGGGGGAAGGACCCTGGCCCACAAAGCATTAAGGGAAGGATACTATTGGCCAACCATGATTATGGACGCCAAGGAGCTGGTGAGAAAATGTGAAAAATGCCAAAAATTCGCACCAGTCATCCATCGGCCGTCGCGAGACCTTCTGCCAATCCTAGCTCCTCTCCCCTTTGCTCAACGGGGATTGGATATCTTGGGACCTTTTCCTGAAGCTCCTTACCAGAAAAAGTGGCTAATAGTCGGCATTGACTATTTCAGCAAATGGATTGAGGCCGAAGCAGCTTTAAGCATAACTGAGCAAACTGTCAAGAAGTTTATCTGGCAGAATATCATCACCCGCTTCGGCATTCCGAAGGTGTTTGTCTTTGATCACGGAAGGCAATTCGATAATCTGCCGCTGAAGCGGTACACTTATCAGTTTGGAATAAAATTGGCGTATTCGGCAGTTTGTCATCCCCAAAGTAATGGCCAAGTCGAAGCCGCAAATAAGCAAATACTCAATGCTCTCAGAAAGAGAGTTGAGGATCAAAAGTCTAAGTGGATAGGGGAACTTCCCGGAACTCTATGGCCACTTCGGACAACCGAGAAAGAGGCGACGGGACATTCACCTTTTGAATTGGTGTATGGATCCGAAGCCGTCTTACCAGTGGAAATTGGTTCAGAAAGTCTTCGAGTAAACCAGTTCACAGCCGAAGAAAATGAGCATCTCATGAAAGAATCCCTCGATTTCCTAGACGAAATTCGAGATTCGGCAAGAGACAGAATGGCAGCATACAAACAAAGAATCAGCAAGTTTTATAACCGAAGAGTCCAGGCAAGGCTCCTTAAAGTTGGGGACCTTGTTCTTCGGAATGCTGCCACTGTCCAGAAAAGTCGCATCCATGGAAAACTCTCGGCTAATTGGGAAGGGCCTTATGATATATACGACGAGCTCCAGCCAGGAACTTATCGACTTCGGCAGTTAGATGGAACCGAATTGAAAAACCACTGGAATGCTGATGTACTTAGGAAATTTCATGTGTAAAAGCCCAATGTGGGAGAAAAATCTATGTAAGTACGTCTTCTTCAAATCAATGAAAGGCCTTTGAGCCGCCATTAGTCAAAGTTTTTATTATGTCTTCGTTATTTATGTCTTCATCGTTTTTGAAAAATTCAAGGTTTTGCACCCGGTGCTGTCTGAAGTATTGCATAGTGATGCACTGTACTTCGGCAACCCGAAGGACCTGCCAATATGGGGGAAACAAATAGAAACTCGAGGTATTGCATAATGATGCACTGTACCTCAGACGGATTTGTTGCTCTTGGCAAAGAGGACATAGGCTCATCTAAGGCATAGCCGAAAATAGGAATTGATAAAGGCCTGAAGCATTGCATAATGATGCCCTGTGCTTCGGCAAGTCAATTTCGGGTGATGATTACACCTCCGAAGTATTGCATAATGATGCCTTGTACTTAGGATGGTCATCGCCCTGGCATTGTGTCCCAGATAGTCAGTACCTCGGATGAATTAAAACCAGACTGAACATAAGAAACAAACATAAGTGTTCAAACTGTTAAGTTGCCGAAGGAAAGAAGGCAATAAACTCAGAACTTT